CGTCTCCCAACTCGCTTCATCGCCCGTAATTCAGGTGTATACCAAGGGGAAGAGCGGACTCTGCCCGGTGGGAGAGGACGCTTAGGAGCGATTGTGTCCACAGCCCTGCCTCAAAGAAAAAGAAGTGTTACCCTGAGCAGAAAAGATAGCAAAGCTGGCATTAGGTGGGCATCAATGGGGAGATCATTCAACAACAATGGGGTAGGGGGATCTACTGCAGAGGCCCTGCCCCTCATTGTTGCCCTATAAGCCTCCCTTGAAGGTAGCAGTAGGAAAATCTCAGTAGTTGTGCACAGGCAGGGAAAGGTGCCCTTCTTGTCCCAAGCAGCTACAAATATCTAGCTGCCTAGACCCCTACTAAATTTAATGGAACATACAGAGGCAGGTCTAGAAGGGGCCTGAGTCTTATAAAAACTGGATCCAGGCTGACTCAGGTGCTACTTTAGTTGGCTCTTGCTTTCCAGTCTCTTAGGTACAGTGAACCAAGTAAGAAAATTAGAACTATCTTTACCTCTGATCCTTTGTCTGATGGTCTGAGGTCTCCAGCATGCCCACAGACACTTCTCTTGGCACCCTTTGAGTTCCCTTTCCCTTCTGATATTTTACTTTTTAAGAGTTAAAAAATAATATTTAACAAGTGGCAGGATACAAGGCACAGATCTGCCCTCCAATATCATCTTTATTTCCAATAACTTTGGCCCCAGAGGCACACATCCACTTGTTTTCTGTAAAATGATTGTTGAAGCAGAAAACTAAGGGCTCAGAAGAACATTTTGTTTTGGGGCTCAGCCCCCAGCTCCACTTTGCACTTAGCTTATGGAACTAATTTTTTTTATGGGCTCACCAGTTTGTCTTCTGGGAAATCAGTATTGTGGGACAAACCACACTTATCACAGTCATTTTAAAAATGGGCAACTTGCTCCCATGTTAACCAACTGGTGAAAGCTCCCTATTGAAAGCTCCCACTCTATTGTGCCTATCAACCCCTCCAAATTAGAGACCTCTGCTGTACTACATATCCTTCAGTGTATTTTGCCTTAAACTTTTTTAAAAAAATAGTTAAACTTAAGAAAAAGTGATCACTTTTTGAATCTAGCTCAGCATTATTTATCAATTTCCAAGTAAACATGTATTTAATTACATTTCTTTCTCTCTACTGCACCTGTTCTTATCATTTACATTTCTAAAGCTATCTTAAAAAAGCAATTAACACTACTAACATTTTTCTTTAGTACAAGAGGCTATACATGCTTACAAATTTATTGCTTTTGGGTCTATGTGAAGATTCATCCCGAGCAGCAGTGTCAGCCAGTCTTCCCACATCTTCCAAAAACCGATAATCTGAATTAACAAGGAAAGCATGGCAATGACTCAGAAAAGACTTGGCTAAAATCAACTGCCACAGCCTTAGCACACTAAATGCATGAATGGCAGCAATGCAATGCAGTTCAACCTTACAAAATACATTGGGGCACAGTACTACGTCATCTGTCCTCAACACACGTTAACCTCAGAACAGCAAAGGGCACATGCTTCCAATGCAGGGCGGCAGGAGCAATGGGGTCGGTTTCTGCCGTTCTGTTCCTCGCGGCCTGTGTTGTATACAGACATACAGTTTTGATTGTCTAGATGACACGTCATGGAGGGGCAGGTAAGGAAGCTGGGGCACCATTTGCATAGCACATAAGCTGTTGGGACTCAGTGCTGCTCCCTGGCACATCCCTTTAGTTCTGCCCAAGCTCAGTTTCTCACCTTAGAGATACAGCTGGTACAGCTGCAAGGGCAGTGGGATGGGGGCTTCAAATTCACAGCTAAAGGACTTTGGCGCTTGGGCTCCAAACAATCCCCTGGCCCTCAAGACAATGTCAGGAGGCTGTAGGATGGCACCCTTAAAGGTAAATAAGGCAGGATTTGCCTTGCAGATTTGCTTGGGTTGTTTGCTATTCTTTTTCTTCTTTTATTGATTGGCAACCATTTTGGCACTTCTGCCTAAAGTGGATGGATAAGGTATGAATTTTTTTAAGAAAATGAAACCAATATTTTACATATCAATGCTAAAACCACCCTGACTACTTTCTTCCATGTATCAAGCATGTATTTTATCATCTATTGTTATACCTGTGATTTTTTAAAGCCAGAGGACCAGTTCTGCTATTTCTTGTGCTAATTTTCTGTAAGTATGAATCAGCTGATGGTGGTTTCTCTAAGGCTTCAATCCTAAACACTGTCCTAAACTGTCCTAAAGTTATTGGACAGTAAGTTGCATTGAATTTAACTACTAATTTAAAGTAAACATGCTTAGGATTGCACTGCTCAGGTTGTAGTGGGCATCTTATTGACAATGCAGGTAAAGAAGGGCCTAGATAACCGAGTTCCCCTACCCACCATAACCTCCCATTCAACAGCACCTTGAGTCTTTAAGATGGGTAGAGATTTTCAGAGACTCTTACCACTTAGAAGATTTAAGTCATTGAATTCATTCATGGAAACAAATGCTGTCTTTTCTCTGATTCCATTACAAGTGAACACAGTTTTATGCTTTTTCACGCAAGCCAAACTGAAAATAGAGAGAGAGTAAGGATATAATGTCACATCATTTTCAGCACACAAAAAGAAACAGAAGCTTATTAATTTATATCTACCTGCATGAATACTTCATACAACGTGGACACCGATATTTTGCTTCTTCTGTACTACAGATTTCACATCTTAAAAGAAGAAAATGCAAGAAACATATCACATTTGGGCAACACTGGCACTTCATTAAAAGACTTGTTTTAAGTACAAGTGCCTTCAAGATGGAACACAGTGAAGGCAGGAGGTATATTTGTTATCCAGAACTTTCCTTGTGTGTAAATTTTATTTTCACTGGAGAAGATAACCAAGCCAGAGAAGGTAGGTGGCAAAAGAAAAAGGGGAAGGCCATATATGAGATAGGTTGAGTCCATAGAAGAAGTCACAGCCTTGAATTTACAAGAGTTGAGCAGGGCAGTGAAGGACAGTACATTTTGAAGGGCATTTACTTATAGCATTGCCCTAAGTTAGAGACAAATTGATGGCACGTAACAAAATAAAGTTTAAAAACTAAAATCCAGTCAGTGGTTCTGCATATCTCCCAAGAACTTCTCCCTAATGATTATTAAGTTGGATCAATATGTTTCCAGGAAAAAGGTGCAGAGATATAGGCACAGATAATCCAGGCTGCCTGGAGCTTTCAATTAGAAGCAACAATAGCTTGGTTCCAACAGCCTGCTAATAAGTTCACACAGTTCTGAAAAAATATGCTTACATACTTCTTTATTACCAAGATTGAAATGGGTTTTTACTTTTTCTATTTCTTTCAATTTTCCTATTAATACATGTTATCTTTCTGCCTTCTGATGATTTATATCTTAATTTTATTGAAGAGTTTCTATTTCAGCTAAATGTTGCTTAACAGAATGTGTTTGTGCTGCCAAATAAATCCTTTAGTGACACAATATTTCTGAATATAAAATGTGCCTACCCTCCTTAATACACTTATTGGTGTATTAATCAGAGCATGATGACCATGTTTAAATGAGGTCACCCCGATTCAAGTTTGGTTTTGTTTCAACATTTTCATACGTGTGGTTTGATGTCTAGGTCAAACTGACTCAAGCTGAGCTTTAACATAGTAAATTCTAGGAATCCATTTAAGAACAAGACAAACAAAAAAGTAACTATGGTAATTTTGTTTAGAGTTGCAAATATTCTCCAAGTAGGGCTCCTATGCCTTAAACAGCTGCATAGCAGAACCATACACTAGTTAGGTTAGGCCACAATTCTGTATGTGTTTAGACAGAAAGAAGGCCTACAGCTTCCTGAATTCTCCAGCTGGGACTGATGGTCATTTAGTGCTAGGAGATGCATGACTTTCTCTAAAACTGCCCAGGAGTGCACTCTTAATCACCTAGAGAGATAAACATAACTACTGCTGTTAACTTTATGATATATTTCTATACTGGTCCTCCATGCAAAACAACTGAAGGAAAGCGCAATTATTTTGACAGGTTAAATTATGATAAGATGATTTCCATTCACAATTGGAATAAGCACACAGAAAAAAACACTATAGCTCACTATACAAATATGTATACTGGAACAGGTAGAGGAGAACCTACCTTTTTTTTCACATGTTTCAAACCTGGCTTATACAACCAAGATTCAGAGTTTATAATTCCAAAGGCCAAGTAACCATTTCTGTGTATTTCTGGAATGCCTTGGCCATTCCTCTTTGCTAATTACTTTGAATTATTCACACTTTACATAGGATGAATCTACACGTGGTTAGGGTGGGCTCACTGAATCCAATGGGTCTTACTATATCAAGGACTTTGTGGTAAAGGCACAATCAATAAGATTGCATCCTAAGTATGGAATGACTATCTGGGCAGCTGTAAAGACTGGAACCAATTCCTATCACTGCCTGATGACAGATAGCACCTGATTGTTAGCTGTGATGGCGGCATGCAGCAGCACCTCTGTTTGCTAGCTTACCTTCTGACCTTCAATGGAATAAGAAACTGGGTTCAATGAGCACAAGCAGCAACAGCAGAACAAGAGGTAGAGCTGGTTGCCTTCCAGTTGTGTAGTGGACTCGTGGAACTGCTCCTGTCACCCATGAAATGGGACTCAAAGCTGCTGATCAAACATCCCACCACTCCCCATTTCTCACTGCCAGAAGCAGCTAGTTAGGAGTTGGTGTCCTTTCCAACATGATCAAACCTGAGCTGCTGCCCAACGGTGCTAACTGGGATCAATATAATGAAGGCTTTACAGACCTTTTATCAATCCTTAAAGTCTCTACAAAAGGAAGATCTAAGTGCAGTAGGGGGCAGATGCTATATGGGGAGCTCTCAGGTTCATATATTTGTTCCTCTTCAATGGCTTTTTAACAAAACTATTCAATTTAGAGCTTAGAAAGCACTATGGTAAAGGAGTGAATCTGTATGGATTATGCACAGATTCTAATCTTTGCCTTTGGAATACAGATCCAAAGTGCATTAGTATGGATTAATGCGGAACAATGTGGCACTGTGCACATGTTTTTTGTCCCCAGTGCACCTCTGTAATTTTAACATTGTCCATAGGCCTAACAGTTCATTACAAATTTAACCCTTTCAGCTCTACAGAAGAGGACTGGCAGCTGAACATGTCCTTTTTATTTCTACTGCTTTAAAAACAAGATTTTTTTGAACAGACAGTTTAATAAGAGTGCTGTGAAACTTGCAAGTCTTTGCACTTCATTTGAATATTATTTAATTTATAAACTGCACCAATAGTCCTACATGGGACTCTTCATAATACTGGCATAAGTATTATTATAAACATCTTTGAAGTGTGTTATGAAGTCATTATAATCACACTGCTTTCTGTCTTTTATGTATGTGGGGCATTTTCACAGCCCCAACAAGCATATTATATAGTAGTAAGAGCCACTATGGGTGTGAAAATGATCATTCCATATTAAGAAAGGCATGGGCCACTGTATTTTTCAGCATTACTTTTCCTATAGTTGCTAAGGCTAAAGGAAGGATAATTTTGCTCTTACTGCAGACCACAGTTGGTAGGTTGCAATTCTCTCCATGCAAAAAGAAATAAAAATCAATTAGTATTTTCTTGTTTTAAATTTCAAATCATGGGGATGGAACACTATATAATTCAAGTGTAGATCAAAACTTGAAAGGCTGCTTGGCATAGTAGTTACAGCCCAGGTGGGAAGATTAAGTCCTTCAACATACAGAGGGCCACATCTCCCAAAATGGTCAATGGTAACACATGATACTACTTACAGTTTCAACATCATCTGAAATACCATTCATTCTTAGGTAGAGGATAGTTAGGTTCAAGTACTCACTGAATTCATACAGTGTATAGACAAAGTTTACTGTGTTTTAGCCTAATCCAGCATACAGGGCAGTTGTGACGGCAAAAATCGTATGTTTTTTAAGAAAGAGGGGCAAAGGAGCCACATAGATCCCTTAAAGTCCTTGCCTAATGTACTAGGTAAAACGTAAGTAAAGGTAGGATCCTGCATGGTCAAACAGAATTTAAAAAGTCCCACGACTCCCAGTCTGCCTGGAAAGGAATACTACGAGTTGTAGGACTTTTTACAACAGGCACAGAATCGCGCCTTAAAGCAATAATGCCAACAAGCTCAAAATATCCTTAATGTAGTTAACAGAAGGCACTGCAGTGCGCCCCTACGAATTCCCTTATCCACTTCCCGGCTCGCGTCCCGCATGTGAGCATGCGGGGCGTCCCTACCACGAGGTACGCTTTGAACCCAGCCGCGCCGCTGCCTGAAGGGACCCCGCGCAGCTCCAGCCTGAGGAAGTCTCATCTCGCCAATTGCTCTCCACCGGGAACGGACCTCCTTTCCCAGAGGCGAGGCGAGGCGAGGCAGAGGGAAGGAGAGACGCTCCTACCTCCGCAGCGACATCTTCCGCTTGAGGCTCTCGAGGGCCTGCTCGCCGATCGCGCCTGCCGCGCTCGACGCCGCGTCCATGGCGCTCGGCGGCCTGCTCTCGCGCGCTCCTCGAAGCCTAGACCGGCGCTTCGGCTTGCGGAGGGCGAGGCGGGCGGAAGCAGAAGGCCGCCCTCAGGCGGGAACTCGGGGAAAAACAGGCGCTTCTCCTCTTTGGAGGAGACGCCTGTGTGAGGTGGTTCGGTGGGGGTACGTTGGAGGCTTTCGCTGCGGTACCCTCACGAATGGCTCCTCTTGGGAGACCAAGGAAGCTGGACCTTTCCTGCTTCCAGGGCTTTGTGTTCGCAGGGTTGCAGCGGGGTGGGGGGGGGGAGGTGCCAGGTACCGAAGTACGGTGCTCAAGACCCGACAAAGCAAAACGACAAACAAAAACAACCACCTCCAAATAAACCAAAAAACAAAGCAAAAAAAAAAAGGTATTGCAAAGTATTTGTGTGTGCTTATTTAAATGTTGCCCCTATTCGTGGGAGAGGAGAGTGTTTGGTTTCAGCAGCTAAAAACCTCATGCTGATTCTTGGCACTCCTGGTGCAGAAAACAGTTATTCCTGGATCATATGCATGCTTTTTAATTTTTCAAAAAATGAATATTCAAGACTTCGCATCCCTGCACAGCCATGAAGCTGGATGATGTCCTTAGCCCGAGCCCTCTCCCACGGTTTAATTGCAAGGTTTATGTGAGGCTAAAGGGGGCAGAGGGAAGGAGGAATCGGCCGCTTGAAACTCTTCAGAGGGAAGGGATACCAATTTGAATGTTAACGCTTACTAGCTGAGGCCCCTTGGTCTATGCTAAATAGACCTGTCAGAGCAGGGTTGGGCCTTCCTTCACTGGACCTAGTTCATCCTCAGGGGAACTCTCGAGGACCTTATTCTAGTCATGGGCTGGCTTAATGGGTTTGGGCAAAAATACCAGCATATTAGTGGTAATTATTATGTTCTATTGTATTTCAATGTATTTTATTGTGTTGTAAGCCGCCCCGAGGCTTCGGCAAGGGGCGGCATAGAAATGTTTAATAATAATAATAATAATAATAATAATAATAATAATAATATAACGTAATACTCTTACTGCGAGAAATTAATTCTAAGGAGAAGTTCTACAGCTAGAAAAAGGGGGAAACTGCCAAGTTACTGGGGGAAAGGGACATAGTCATCTGGGGAAATCTAAGGGGAGGCAAGTTCAGCTGGATGCACTGCAATCCTGTGTTAAATCTTGTAGACTGCGGGGTGGTGGAATCTCCCCTTTAATCTTTTCTTCCTAATAGGGCAGTTGATTCCTATAAAGGCCTGCCCAAATAGGGAAAAGTCAGCCAATTGAAGGGAAATAGTATTTTGCGGTATCTAAGGAGCCACCCCCACAAAAGGCTTACTAGATTTATAGTCGCACTACTTCACAGCTGCTGTAGGACTCAGCAGCAACTGGAGGAGTTTGCCTGCATTTGGGTTAGAGGGAAACAAATATAAAATGAAAGTGAAACGAGTAATCAGGACTTTGCTGTCTTGAGGGTGTTAAGACAAAATGAGCAAAAGCTTTGCCCAAAATATGGCTGCTAAAAGTCTGACACTAAGAACAGTTTTAGACTTAAGGTGGGATTCCTGATCCGATAAGGAATCCATGTTACAAGTGTTGTTTCCCACATACCTACGTCTTAGAAATGCTGATAGGCCAATTGTTTACTTGTCCTGTAGGTACTTCTCTTTGTGCTGTTCCTGACCCCACTTTGTTTAGCAAACTGCCTATGATCTCCCACCTCTCCCATCCAAACTGTGTATATAACTGCTAGATTATAAAGCCTATTGTACAGACTCCATCTTTGTAGTCCCCTTGGGGGCAGCCTACATGCTGCATGTATTTCCTGTATGTCTGAATTAACTGTAAAGCTCTTTGGATTATACACCCCCAGCAGACTCTCAAATGGTACTTTTTCACTCTTGTCAAGGGGCTAGCAAGAATTGTTTCACAGATCTGCTGGCCCCTTTGTTGTTGTCCCAGATGCCTTTGTTGTATCTGCATATAAGTCTAAATTAAAAATTGCCTTGGGATAGATTCAGACATGAAAAGCAGTGGGGCTAAACAAAGACAAGAAAAGCAGTGTCAGACAATTGGTGATTTCACCTAAGTCACATCAGAATCTGGGTAATTTAATGCTGTTAAATGTCTATGTTTTTTCCCTAGGGTGTGTGTATGTCAAGTCTAATTTAGCTATACGGTGAGGCCTCCACTGCTCCTGAGCCTCATCTGTGGGATCATTCCAGTGTAAATTGAACTTGAAGGTTGCATTCATGTCAGTTGACAAATTCACTAGGAGTTGATTTAGGTGGAAGGGTAACCCTATTTAGGTGTTCTCCTGCATGGTTAGAGCAAACCTTTTGTCCTCTTCAAGTGTTGTTTCCCTCAACTTAGGCTGCGCGCTCTATGTGGGCAATTGATGCAGCGAGAGGGGCGGCACCTGAGCACTCTCCATCCTTGTATGTATGCTGTACCTCTGATAAAGCTCTCTACAACAGCTTCCTCCACCCTGCTGCCCTCTAGATGTTTTGGACTTCAATCCCCATTAGCCCCAGCCATTATGGTCAATGGTTAGGGGGTATTATAGTCAAAAGCACTGTATTGGCTGCTTATAGTATGTTTGCTTCCCAGTGTCATAAGAAGCTACCAAGTTTATCAGGAAAAGGGCTAAGTGGCATCCACTTCCCTGTTGTGCTGGGGTTTGTTTTTTAATGTGCAGAGACTTGTTTTTGCCATCTTCTTTTCTACAGCATCACATGGAATAATCTAGACTTTATACTGCTGAATATAAACTGGCCTTGACTTTCTAGAAAGTGTTCCTGTCTTCCCTCATTTGGTGTCCTCCAGATGTTTTAGACTACAACTTCCAGAATTCTTGACCACTGTTCTTGCTGGTTGAGGCTAAGGAACTGAATGAAGTCCAGAACAGCTGGAGGGCACTGGATTGGGAAGGCTTGTTTGCTTTAGATTTAGCTTTTACTGTATTCAGGATTTAGGAGTTCAAAGAACTCCCTGTGCATATTAATTCTATGCCTATTTCAAATGCAAAGATAGTACTGGATTAAACACTGGGGCCTACTGAGATTGCTGGCCTTTCAGAATACAATCCCACAGATTTTAGTCCTGTTGGATTGTGTCCAGAGCCCTCCATTTCAAATCTCAGAGCCTTTTGTCTATCCTAAGCCTATCCCAGTGGGGCAGGAGAACCTGCTCCTTCTTTATCCATTTCTAGCTAGATTGGTTCAAGGCCCATCTAGCTCTCCTTCCTTTGTGGGGTCAGGATAAGGAATTGATTGAATTGTGGATTTGCTGCATCTACAACCTCTTCCTTTGCCTGTTCTCCAGTACACCTCCATTCCATCCTGCCTATCCCCTTCTGAAGTCACAACAGGAATAGTGACAACTGTGGAGTTTCTCACAACAGCCAAGGAGTGGAGAATCCATTATCATATTCCCTTCTCCACAGTTGTAGCTCTGCATACAGCCAGGGAGATTATTTGCAACATCTTCCACTTCCTGGCTATTGAAGCCATAGTATTGCTTGAAAACTCTTAGAAAGTATTTCTGTTTCTAATTCTTGAAAGTAATTACTCAACAGCTAAAAAGAATTTGGACTTAAATAAAATAGTGAATTATGTGAATGTGAAATAGTGCAGTAATATTTGGGTCAAAAACATAGAACTCCCAAGAGAGTTGATGTAATTAAGATTATTATAATTTAATAGCAGCCATTTAAATATATGCTGTTTTAACATTTTTAACAGTTACAAAATATTTACATAATACATCATTGCAGATGGCTTTGGATAGTTGAAATCTTAAACTGCAGTCCCAAAATGTTTAAAAGACTACTGTACGTAGCCCTTCTATAACTACAAAATCCTGTTCTTTCTATAAGCACCAGACACAATGTTCTGTCTCATGTACTACTACCATACCTACAGACAGAACATTTTAAACAAGGTTTTCACATAATGTTCTTACCCATAATGATGTGACCATGTTTTTAAAGACACAATTTTATAATGGAAAGTTCTCTTGATGTTACCAGCACATGCACCCCCCAATAATGAAAAGGAACCAAAAATCTTGACTAAGGTCACAAACACCTTTGTTATACAGAGAGCACCAGGCAACACAAATAAACACATAAGAGGTAGTGTATCATCGGTATGATGTCTCTGTCCAAAAAGAACTGTAATACAACTTAAGTGTTTAAGAAAACAATATTTCATGGTGGCAAAACTCACTGTCATAAAAGTATAATACAACTATTGCACATTTGGGAGCATTAGCCGGGGTTGCTCCTTAGTACTCTGTTCCTCTGTTTTTTCACTGTTTCAGACAGTGCTTTAGGAACACTGGAATTTCAGAAGATGTTTGATATATGGTGTACATTTCTCAGCTCCAGAGAATAATATAAAAAGCACCAATCAAAAATTAAATACTTTATTAATATTGCCAAGGTCTCTTTCAAAACAAAACCATTTCTCCTTCTTAGGAGGAAGTCTTTTTCTTC